ATATATTTCATATGTATATGGTCCATATAAACATACTATATATATGGAGAGAGAGAGAAAGAAGGTGGAGGAGAGTGAGAGAAAGATACCATATGCACATACACACTGTATGACCCACTACAGGCCACTATTAATATGTAGTTTCCTCATCCTTTGAGGCCAGCTAATGATTTCCCTCTAATGAGGGAATAGTGCAGCTGAGCATTGTGGACTAAACAACATTGATGCAGCTACCAAACTGCTAATGCTCTTCTCCAGTGAGCGCGGCATCATGAAATCCTCATGAAATCGAGTGTGTTCTGCAAATTGTGTTGTTTACTCTGGTCCATCTCTCTTGTCATTTATTTTGTTTTCTGGTGAACAATTTTGTGTCATAATGACTGACAAATTGTGCCCACGATAGAGCTGGATGTGTCATAAAGAAGCAGAGAAAGAGTGCTAAGCTGGAAGTTAAAATGGACTGTTTCACCCGGCCTGAGGCTTTTCCCCAGGAACTAGAAACCATGGTAAGGATGAGCAGGCCATTAGGAGCTGGTCCACGTGCTTGGACATTAGGAGGGTCATTTTACACATCCCTTCAACCAGGGAACATTGACCAGGCAGGGTCAGGCATGTCAGGGGTGAAAGGATTTTAAAAGCAATGTGATCAACAGTACTGTCCCTCTGGAGGAATTTTGTTAAAATGACCTCTACAGCATTGATCCAGGTGTCCTGGGTCCCACTGTTCCATCAGCCCTCCCAACCCTCTGCTCTCCAGTTTAGCAGAGTGTGCTAATATGTACTAGTAGATCTGTTTTTATTTATTTCTATTTACTTAACGGAATTTATTGGGCTGGCTTTGGCTCACAAAATTACCTTGTTATCTCGTTCTTACTTCAGCTGAAATAATGTTAAATTTAGGCTTTATGTTTCCTCCTGCTTTTTACTAGCTTTTTCTTAAGTGAGAAAGATAGTCATGATTTCTTTTCATTTGAAACATTTTTGTCTTAAATAGATGTGGGTGAAAAAGAGGCCATGTACTAAACCTGCAAATCCTGCACGGTGGCTTTTCAAACCCAGAGTCCTAACGTGACCATGCAGGGAAGCCCGCAGGTAGAAACTCCTGGCTCAAAGTGGGTCACAGTGGTAGCCACTTCCTGGGCCTTTCACTTCCCTGTCACGGGTCAACCTTTACCTTTGACATTGTCTTTGTTTTTGAGACTCTAAGATAATGTACCTTTGAAATGTCTGAGTCATTTTCTTTTCTAGCCCCATCAAAGGTACAACCAGGGGCAGCAGGGCAGGACACCACATTGCTCTCTTGTCCCCCACATATCCTCTCTGTGCGCTGTAAACGTTAACTATCCTGCACTCAGCAGTATCAAAGAAGTGTCTCTACATCTTGCTTTTTATCCGTTCCCAGAGAGTTCTCTCTTTGCTTCCTCCTGCCCCCTTAATTTACCACCAATGGATTTCACGTAACCCTCCTTATGTCTCCTCCTTTGATTTTAATGTATAAAATAAACTGCAAAACTGCCATTCTCTGGAGCGGTTTCTCAGTCCGGTGAGATTTTGCTTCCCGGCAGTTGTCATCAGTCCGGACCTGATGCACTCTTATAAGACCTTTTCTTAGGCTGAACATTCTTTCGCCGACATAGAGAACCATAGACTTGGCCACTGAACATTGGAATCCACATCTGGCTTTTCGGCCGGAACCACTATCTTCCATTAATTTGCCAAAATGACTAGCACAAAGGGAAAGGGGAGAGGCACATGCTCTGTGTTCTCTAGGCCTTTTAGAGCTGCTCCTTTGGCCGCGTACATGCGGATCTGTAAGAAAGGTGATATTGTGGACATCAAGGGCTGCCTCACAACTGTTCCTGTGGCAAAACTAAGTAGTCTACAGTGTCCCCCAGCATGCAGTGGACATTGCTGTGAACAAACAAGGGCAAGATTCTTGCCAAGAGAATGAATGTATGGATTCAGCATAGTAAGCACTCTAAGAGCCGAGATAGCTTCCCAAAACACGTGAAGGAACATGATCAGAAAAAGAAGGAAGTCAAAGGGAAAGGTACCTGGGTTCAACCGGAGTGCTGGCCTGTTCCACCCAGAGAAACATACTATGTGAGAACCGATGGAAATGAGCCTGAGCTGCAGGAGCCCATTCCCTATGAATTCATGGCATGACAAGCGTAAAAAAAATAGAAGACCTCTGTACTTATTTTTCAAAAAAGGATCCATGTCTGAGGGCGGGATAGATCACCAAAGTTTGAAAAGGTCCCCAGTAATGCTAATGCCCCGCCAGGTTAAGCGGGACTGCTCAGAAGACTCGTGTCAACTTATTATCTAAGACGTTGATAGTTCACATGGAACACTTTTCACACTTATTATCCAAGGTGTTGATATTTCACTTGGAATGCTTTTCAAACTTCTGAAAAGCCTACCCAGATGACTAATTATTTTACACTGTTTCCCTCTCCCCCAATTGAGAATTAATTTGCAAGTGAATCTAGATAATGGTATCTGACAATTAGGCCCAGAGTTCTCGAGTGGGAGGGAGAACTTATAAGAACTGTGGGTTTGGGTGCTCATTCAGAGAATAAATATCTATTGAGCATATACGAATAACTTCCTCTACACCAGTTCTATCATTTCCCTGGAATATTGAATGAGGGTTGCTTTTTATGGAAATTAAAGCTGATTCACTTACAGGCCAGATATCTCTGTTTGACAAGTGGTGGTGTGTGAGGATCCAGGCAGTCCTGTGTACTCAGAAACATTAGAAAAGCTGGGAGCTATAAAAGGACAGCCTCCTTGCTCTACAGTGGGGGTTGGACACAGGTACTTCAGCAATGATTAACCAGGGAGTCTGCACTGACGTCAGACGAAGCAAAGTAAAGCCAGCACCTGTGAAGCTTCTGCACTGGTTCCTACTCCAGATTCACCTGGAAAATGCTTGTTTTTCTTCATAGGTTCGAACCAGTGTCCTGCCCGAACACAAGGATACCCTGCCGGAGACTGGGGTAAGTGCTTTTGTTTCCAAAAGGCACGCTCATCACTTGGAAGTTAATGATTTGGGTTTTCCTTGGCTTCCTGCCTAGTAGCTGACAAATGAAACGGAGTTACATTGACAGGGTGTGAGTATATGAGGAAGCTCTGTCGCGTATTTGCTGAGTTGCATGGAATACATTTCTTATCTCCTGAAAATAATCCTCCCGTGAATCGGGATTTAGGCCGGCTGGCTAGAGAGGCATCTAGAAGTTGCCCTGCAGGTAGTTGAGATGCAATTCCCAGCTAACACTCCTGGACCACCGGGAGGCTGGGGAAATTGTAGCCGTGAGTTCTACCTCTTCCGGAAGGAGGCAGAGAACCAACCAGCCACAGGACTGCGATGCTTTCTGTTTCTTGCTCCTTAAACCTGTCAGAACATGCCACCTGAACCTGGCAAGGCAGCCCTTCAAATATATGCCCGGGAAGAATGCCAGCCATCTCTGAATCTGGTAGGGTAGAAGGGAAAGGGTATTGGTGCTCGCTCATGCCTAACACAAGCTTCTTGTTTCTTCTTGGGGACTGGTTGAATACCTCTGACTCAGGAGAATATCCCTGCTTTGTTTTCTGCCTTCACCTCTTGGGCTGCTCTCACTTCCACTACCAGTCTCTGAGCCTAGACCACAGGGGCTTCGTTTTAATTTCTCCAGAGGGCCTAGCAAGTTCTTCCCAGCCTCAGGCCTTCATTGCTCAAGCACTTGTCTCTCTCCCTGATCTGGGTTGAGATCAGACACCTTTTGTTTCTGTCCACCCCAGGCGCCCTCCTTCCAGTTAGGGCCTCCACTGCACACTGTCATCACACCCTTTACCCATCCTTCATCAAGTGTAAGGCCTTTTGAAATCTGTAACTATTAAAAAGTTAATAGCCCTGACAGGTTTGGCTCAGTGGATGGAGCGTCGGCCTGCGGACTGAAGGGTCCCAAGTTCAATTCTGGTCAAGGGAATGTACCTTGGTTGCAGGCACATCCCCAGTGGGAGGTGTGCAGGAGGCAGCTGATGGATGTTTCTCTCTAATCGATGTTTCTTATTCTCTATCCCTCTCCCTTCCTCTCTGTAAAAAAACCAATAAAATATATATTTTTTAAAAAAGTTAATAATTATTTTATAAGGAAGTCCATTTATTTCTGAGGCTCAGGATGAGATGGTTTAATTTTTTCCTTCTTACTGTCCACCTCCCGCCCCAGCTGTTCTGTGTTAAATCCCCCTTGCTTGAAGCTTTATTGCTATTCTGACCTAATTGTATGAATTTCCCTGCTATTTTTTTTCTCATTCAGGTTCTTGGAATACATCTTATTCATTATAAGACTCGAATCTCTGATTTTAAAGTATTTTCTTCCATCCTTTCCTGACACCTTTTTCCACTGCAGGCTGGACATCTCTGTGCCTCTAGCAGCCTGTGGTGGGGGGCGAGCATAGTCTGGTTCTCACGCATGTCCTACCCTTTCCTGCTCTTGCTGCTCATGCTGTAGTGAGGGGAAAGACAAGGGGACAGGCTCCTCGCTGCTTGTCCACGGTGAGGGTGAGGGTCCCTTTCTGCTGGCTCTGATGTTTCTCAGGTCAACACTGGCTAACAGAGTCCTCTGCATAGCACATGATTGAAATGCTGCCTCTCTCGTGAGCACAAACATAGGTAGGATGCTTTTATTCAGTGTGGATAGTGCATGTATCCACTTTCCATTCCTGTGGGGTGGGAAACCATGTAACCATAACTATTAGGCTTGACAGTTAAAAAAAATACACAGGCTCTGAAAAAGGACCTGCCTTGTAGGTTATGTGAGGGAAGATGTTGTGTATCAGCCTCATGATATCACCATCAGCTCTTCAGAGATCTTTGAAAACATACACCACAGTTCCTGTATGTAGTTTTATAAGAATAGGTCAAAGTATTATTGTTGTACCCATATAACCTCTATGACAGCACCATTCAGTAGAAATATAATGTGTACCACAGATGTGATTTTAAACTTCCTAGGAGCCCAGGCTTTTAAAAGAGTAAAAAGAAACAGGTGAGATTAATTTTAATATTTCATTTAACCTTATACTATCTGCAAAATATTACCACTTTAAAATATAATCAATATAATTCATTATCAATAAATTATTTATCACACTCCTTTTCTCATGCCACATCTTATAAATTTGATGTGCATTTCACCCTTAGAGCACATCTTAATTGAGAGCTACAGCTCAAACTAGGGCTCAAGCTGGTGGCTACACATTGGATAGTGCAGCTCTAGACAGTATTTGGAAAATCTTGGGAGTTTCCATGCAAATTTCATTGTAAAGGAGACATGTACTCTTGATAAAGGCTTAGTTAGATGAATGTACCTGATAGAGGTTTGCCCAGCTCATGGCCATGTGTATGAGGTTGTACATCCTCTGGCTCCTTATGCAGTAGTGCTCGACCAGGGGACCACTGAGGACCTGCTCCAGGGGGGCGTGTACAACCCCGCTGAGCATCCAGGATATCTGTGACTTGCTCAGAGTCCCTGTGAAGGCTGGTGAGATAAACTTTACTTGTACAGTCCCTGTGGAGAGCAGCCAGGGATTGAGACAGGTGCCTTCCTTTCTTCACCTGCTTGACACCACACACTCCAGCCAAGTGAGTGATTGAAATCATGCATGAAGCCATTTAATAATCACCTGCTTTGGGTGCTTGGACCAGAACGATCGTGGTAAGTGCTGCCTGTCATGAGCAGACTAGAGAGGTCAGAGCCACGTGCAGTGCAGGCAGAGCGCTGTCAGAAGGAAAGGCATTGCCACCTGCCTTGGAAATGAGGCTAGTGTGATGGGGGTGGAAGAATGCTGGACCGAAAAGCAAGAAACCTGGACTGGAATTGGCCTGTGACCAGGGGTAAGCAGTTCACTCCTCTGGGCCCGTTTCTTCCCCTGCAGACTGGCAGTGCCTTAACAAGCCCTGCCATTCTCTGATTCCAGATGGACATTTCTTGGGCACTGCTGAACATTCCACATGATCTGACAAAAATATGAGCTATAGGGAATCATAGGTAACATGCAACAACAGTAACTGTATAGGACCATGCAAACTTTATATCCTTGCTTTTTCTGCACTTGTAATCTAGTATTTCTTTTAATTTATATTTTTTCCTGAACCTATTGTTTAATGTGTGTGTGTGTGTGTGTGTGTATTTTATTGTGGGAATTTCTCATAGACTATTTGAGAAAATATGTGTGTATATTTTTAAATACTCTGACTTTTCCAAAAAGTACTTAAGGTAGACTTATAGCACTTTTAAGTCATCTGACTTTTGAGTGTATTATTATTATTATTTTAAATCCTCACCTGAGGATATGTTTATTGATTTTATTTTTATTCTGCCTCTCAAAAAATAGAGAGAGAGAGAGAGAGAAATACAAAATATTGATATGAGAGGGAAACATCAATTGATTGCCTCCAAATGCACCTCAACTGGGGGATTGAGTCTCCAACCTTTGGGTGCACAGGATCATGCTTCAACCAACTGAGCAACCCGGTCAGGGCTTGAGTGTATCATCTTAATCACCGTGACAGCTAATACCATGGAATGCCTCCTTTTTTCTGAGCAACGTACTAAGTGCTTTTTCTGGATAGCTTCGGCTCCAATGATGATGACTATGAGACAGATATTCCGTGATCATAGGCACCTTTTTCATACAGAAACTACTAGTAAGGCCTAGAGTGGTGGAGTAACATATCCAAGAGCGCAGGTTTGGGAAGGAGAAGACAGAGAAACAAGGCCTGGCAGTGCCATCAACGGACACCCGCCCGGGGCCTGGGGGGATGATGGAATTGCCTGGTTTCCATTTGAAACAGAATGATTGGTTTAGGACTGCACTTCAGACCTCTGAGCTCCAGCTCTAGGGAGGCTGACATGCTTTGTTTGTCTTGTTTATTTTCCCCCTGATATGGAGCTTCCAGTTTAAAGCCTTTAAGGTGAGAATTTTAGAAACAGCACCGAAGGAGAGATGGAAAACATTGTTCCTTGAATTCTACTTGAAATATTTAAAAAACTTAAAAAATATTTATGATTATGATTACAGTAACAGCAAAGATGAAATATTTTTATATTTTTATCTTTTTACCTTAGGTGAAACAAAATTATTTATTTTACATTCTTGTTGGCTATTTCCCCTCATAGGAATTCAGGTTTCAAAAATAAAGACTGTTTTCCCTCTAATTCATTCTTTTACTGGAGACCAGTGAATATTCATGGGAATGAATGATGTGTTTTCCAATTTTTTTTGGGGGGGGCAGGTGCAGAGGGACCTAGTTTTATTTATTTTGAAGTAAAACTAATACATATAAACCTTCTAGAAAATAAATGTATAGGCAGGCAATGCCATTGTTGGTGTTACAATGTGAAAAAATTTTACATTGTCATGAAATTTTGGGGTTTCATTCATGCATTTTATGCAACATGTAGTCCCAGGATAGTTGTTTTTAAATAAATATGGTAGCGTTTATACCTACATAACACCTCCTCTGGCTTGATACATTTTTATAATGTCATGCTAGGGCGCCTTATCCCCAGATTGATTTTTAACATGTTGTGTTATTTCTGTAAGATCTCTTAATGTCCTTTGAGATTAGGCATGTGGCTGACAGTTGTGATGGACAAGACGGACTAACGGGCATTCTTGGCCCATTGCAGGCATTCTCAGTGCGGCCCCTCTGTTCCAGGTGCTGGGCTTGACTCAAAGATGGTCAAGCCAAGGTCCTGCTTCCACAGCAGCTCCCGGTCTGGCGGACAGAAGAGACAGTCAGTGGCTTATGGTCACAGTCTCTGCTTGCAGCTGTGCCTCGTGGCGTGTCTGTTTCCCATGTCTGGAAATAGCTACTCCACCTGTCGCCTTGCTGCATTCCAGTCTGGGCATTTGCTCATTTTCTTGCTGAAGAGACCACAATAACATTCATGACATGTGCAGTTTTTAATTTATTCCAAAACCCTTTGTACCTTCAGAATCTCAAAAGGCAAATGCTGAGGAAATATGGAGTTTCTGATCAGTTAAAAGTTTTCTTTGAGAATGGATAATAGGTGAGGAATGGAATGTAAATGAAAAACGCTGATTATCAGTGAAAGAGAAAGTGAAACCTCTTTAAAATACAAAATGTTAAATGAAACTTACTACAACAGCATACAATCTACACACTACCATTGTTTTGATTTCTCACATTTCAGTGAATTATAGTAGTTTATAAATATCTGCAGAAAGAGCACTTCTCCTCGATCTAATAGAATAACTTACTTGAAGCTATGACTATCCCATTCATTCATTCATTCATTGTCAGTAAATATTTATCACATGCCTACTGTGTGCTAGACTGTGGGGGGAGGGTATCAGAAATCAGAAAAAAGCTCCTTGAGGATCCTCAAATGTCATTTATTTGGGGGTACAGAATAAGCGAATGTGTGTGTGTGTGGTGTGTGTGCGCGTGTGTATATTGTGATAAGTGCTAATAAAGAAAAACCCAACAGGACAGGGAACCAGGAATAGCAGAGTCTCCGTGCTCTTGTATACAGGGTGCTGTAGTTAGTATCTCTGATGGAGTCACGTACTGCTTCTGTTCAGCTGATCTCTCGTGGGCTTGCTCTGCCCTGTGTTTCTTCAGGCTTTGTTCACACAGCTCTTGGGCCTCCTTCTGTGCCTCAGTTCACTCTCATTTCATCCCTCCGTGAGCCAGTATTTTCACAAACCTTCTATGCTAACAGTCCCCACCTAACAATTTAGCATCATATGCTTCTGGCTTTGGTGACTCGGTGTCTAAACCATCTCTTTGAGTTTCAAGTTAATGAATTGGGTTTATCACCACGAACATATAAGCATCTCTAACTTAAAAACTGAGTTTATTTCAAATGTTTGCCTTGAAGTGTTTTGGAACAGTTCTTCTATGTTAGAACTTGGAAAAGAGGGAGAAAGCTTTCCTTTCTTGTTCTCAACAATTACTCACCATGGACACAGCCTTTTATGCATGGAATAATTGCACACTTTCCTCTGAAAAGGCCCAATTGGCCTCCGGTCTGTCATTCTAGGGAAGCCTGATAGCAGACTTATGAAGACAGAATGTTCTGGAAGATGTAGTGCTGATCTTGTAGCATATTACAATGTGTTAGGCAGCAATGGCACAGACAGTAATATGGGTTTGATATTTTCTTCTTTACTTCTTGACCTTGAGGGGAGAATGAGAAATCCTATTTATGGTATACCACAATACTGTGACTTTTAAATCAGAAGAAGCCAGGAATGTTAAAAAGAGATGAAATATTTTTTTTTATTTGGGAAAAGCACAACCAATTTAGAGTTTTATTCTTTACATTATGAGTCAAAGAGTGGAGAAAGTAGATATTCATAGATAGTCAACACCCGGTATGATAGGTTAAAAAAGCAATTTTAGAAAATGTAACTGAACAAGTCCCATTATTTTTTGTATGTCAGGATGAAATTGTCCCATGCTAGGATAGAAATAACAAAGGAAACAAACGCTTTTAAGCATTGCTGTGATGGGGGAAAAATAGAGCATTTCTATTTATAACTTGTCCAGAGTCCCACATAAAAATAGCTCCAACAACCAGATTTGCTCATATCTGGAATACAGCGTTGTTGCTGCCAGTGACGAAGAATTCTAATAAGAGCGACAGTGGCATTGGTAAATATTGAAAGTTAGCATCTTTCTTTTACCCCAGCTTTCATATGGGGAGAAAATTAGCTAGTGGAACAGTCCTGGCTTCTGTGTCAACATTTTGTTATTTTCCAGGCTGTCTGTCTTTGTTTTTAATGAAAAGGATGCATTTGTACCCCTGAGACTTACGCCATGAGGTGGATATATCACTGATGATTGTATTTCTGTCCATGAAATGTTTATCAGGCTAAGAGATTTAACATCTTATTCTTCTAGAGACTAATTTTGTGTGATCGCTATGACAGCAGATATATTAGGAACTTCAGAAGTTAATGAAAACTATTCTTTCTCTCATTTTCAGCGGAGCTTCCTGGGCCATGCCAGTTTTAAAGTGGGGGAGCTACTGAGGTCAAAGGAGCAACTGCTAGCCCTGAGCCTGAGGTGGGTCTCTCGATCTGCAATAATACCGTTACAGTGACTAGCCTGCAATATTTACCGAGGGCTGGCTGGGTTTGACAGTCATAGTTCTTGCATATGTTTAGATGTCAGCTCTCAAAGGGCTTACATTCTCCATTGCAACAGGTTGAATTGAAACAGCAATTATTCAAGCTCACATTCAAGTTCACATTTCAGATTGTCAAAGTTTATTAGCCCTTGTGGTGGGAGGTGGAGGGTGGGGAGGGGAATTGCATTATCATTAAAGGGATGACATTTGTTTGAAAGTAAGAAAGCATTAGAAGTGATGAGCAATGTTATTAAATAATTTCTGTTACTTATCAAAATGTTACTTTTAAAATCAAGTGCATTTCTCGGATTGAAATATATTGGCTAAAGGCATTGCAGATTTTTTGATGCTAGAGGGTAAAATGATTATTTCCTTTTTTAAAGCTTATTTTGTTGCTATCTTAAATATAAACATGTTAAAATAGTCATATTGAAACAGACAATAGATAGAGCTGATTTATAGTATAAGGACAATTTCTTTTGATATAGAAAATGAAATAATCTTCAGAAAGTTCTATAGTGTTTTAATAATAAAAATAATGTTAAAAATAAATATTTATTTTTAACTTTATAATAAATTTGAAACCATAGTATTTTGCTATATAACTGTATTCTTTTACAATTCTGTGTACATGGAGTGGAGAATACTGCCTTGCAATATTTATATAGTGTAAACATTGTATAGAATCCTAGTTGTAAACTGAAGATGCCCTTCTTTTGATGAAATATAAAGATGACTCTCAGGGACAAGATAGTATCTTAAGTTTGTTTGCTGTCTGCCCAGCCCCCAAGGACCACTTATTACCAAGAATTTCTTTTAGTAAAAATGCTGTGACGTCTGTTGGAATTTGTACTGCTGGCTGTCTCCTTTTCTGATTAGTACTGACTCATACGGTTTTGCATTTTGACTTAATAGGTAGTACACAATTTAAAGTAATTTATATTCATGCCTAAAAGTAAGCGTGGAAGCCACTATCTTCTCTCTGGCTTCCCTTAGGCTGTCTCGTAAACATCTGTTATTTTGTTGTTGTTGTATTTTATTTGAGAAGACATTTAAAATATTGATAGTGTGGGGGGTTTTATTCCCAATAAAATTTTGTTGCATTTATTTTCAGTCTGAAGGGTGTACGGGCCGGCTGAAAAGTCAAGTTTTTCAAAGGCACTGGGGACCCTGGAAAAACCTGTTAGCAGCCAAGCATGGTGGTTAGATCTGACCAGAGGGCTGCTGGGTTAAAACTCGGAGCTAACTTAGAACTAGCAGCAGGTCATGCGTTTTCTAGATAAGATGCTGAGCACTTTATTCCCCCTTTTGCTGACTCAGAGGCAGCAGTTGTGATTTTATCATAACTGTCACTAACAGCGGCGTGCTGCACGGCATTTAGTCACCTCCTGGGAAACCGGAATCAGGGCACTGGAAATTGTTGGTAAAATGGAAATTAGTGACTACATACGATGCCTTTGAGGGAGGGTAGGCACAGAACGGTCAAGTTGAGAGTACGACCCTTGGAAGGAGATAGGAATATAATAATTTCAGATTTAGAGGCTATCAAAACAAATTTCCACTTTTGATTTAATGCCCCTAATTCCTGTTCAGTTGAGTTTCACTGTGTTTAAGGAAAACAAATTGAAAAACAATGAGTTGCATTTTCTAGAATAAATAATTGTTGAAAATCATTTCTGAAATGGCTAGGTTATTTTTTTTCCCCCTTTAGTGCTTTGCCAAGTTTTTCGATTTCCCTCCCGATGAACCAGACACAGTAGACTTATCATAGCCTGTGATTTCTGGTGCTTCATGTTTTTTTACTTCTGATGTAATTCATCTTCTCTCTACTGACTAGAGAGTCTCTGAGGTACCGAGCTGGGGAACATTAGGTCAGGAACAAAAAGCTTGTTTTGGGTTGTTTGTTTTGTTTTAAATATTTCCTTGTACTGATTATATCTGACTTTTATCCCACTTATAGTCCAGACATTTTAACACAATACAATTCTCAGGTTGTTATGTTTTAAAATATAGAGATGTATGGGAAAGGCTATTCAAGAAATAAGCATTCATCTTCTGTTTATTTTTAAGATTTCCCTATTTTATATAACATTTATAGGTGTACATATTGATGCATATACATATGTATCATAGAGTGTGTTGTTGCATATGTATTTGTTTATGTGATTTTTAGGACTATTTTGCTTTCCCACAAACCATAAATACTTATTTTCTACGATCAAATATTTGTGCTTAGAGAAGTTAACATACAAATTATGATATCTTTACATTTTTGTTATTTTATGTTTTATTTAACCTTCATAAACACACATACACACTTCATTTTTGTTGTTTGTAAAAATAAAAGAACAACAGATAAACCCTACATATTTGAAATGTAATCCCCCAAGGCCTTGTTCTTCACTCCAGAGCTGGAAATAATAAGGAAAGGCTCCTTAAACTATGACATATGGATTTCTCCACAAGTGCACTCAGCGTGATAAAGACACGAAATTGCCACCATCATCTCACATGTTGGGAGCCCACGGGTGTCCTAGACACCCCAGGGCAGTGAATCAGAATAAGTTTGTTCTGAGAATCCTCTGAGTGCCTCTGAACCTCCGCAGTAACCTGAGACGCACTTGGCCATAGTCTGACAATACAGTTTTAAATGATAAATTATTTTTCTATTCAAATGAAATTAAACTTTTTAGAGTTTTAATCTCTTACTACTACTACTACTACTATGCTTTTCCTACACAGAGATAAAGACTATACACATCATCTTACTTTAAACACCACATATATTCTTTAAAGTTCTTTGTATGAGGGAATGCTTCTGTAACAGCACCTTTTCTTATCAATAGCTACTTGAACCTCAGAGATGAATTTTAAAAACCACATCCATGTGTCTTAATTGTTATATCTATTTTGAAAACATTCTACTCTCTTTAGAAAGTCTTCCAGTTAGCTTTCCTAGGTCCTAAAAAGCAGGAGTGCAGCCAAAAGTTCTGATGATTTGGCAACACTAATTTTTCTGTATCTCTAAATCATTTTCTCTATTAAACTATAGGCTCGGTGCATGAAATTCATGCATGGGTAGGGTCCCTAGGCCTGGCTGGTGATCAGGACCAATTGGTGAGGCAACGGATGGGGCATTCAGGGCCCCCGCTCGCACCTGCCTTGGCTGGCGCTGCCTGCTTACCTGCTCCACCATCCTGCCGCAGTCCTGCTCTTCTTGGGGGCCCATCGGGGCTGGCAGTGCCTCCAATGCAGCCTGCTGCCAGCACCACTGACACCCGCCATGTTCTGTGCCACCCCCTGGTGGCCAATGAACATCTAACTCCTGGTCAGTCGAACTCCTGCCCTTGGGGATAATTTGCATATTAGCCTTTTATTATCTACACTAATAAAAGAGAAACATGCAAATTGGTGTCACCCTGCTATGCTCACCAGCCAATCAGCTGAGTATGCAAATTAACTCAACAAAGATGGCGGTTAATTTGCATATGCAGGCACTGAGCAAAGACTGAAGACTGAAGAGGCTTGGCTTCTCTGCTGTGGCTGGAGCGAAGGCCTGGGTCCCAGTTGCCAGTGGAAAATCAGTGTCGGCAGCCAAGGGAAGGAAGGCCTATTGCATGAATCTCTTTGTGCAACGGGCCTCTAGTATAGGATAAGGGCAGTAGACATTGACTGGTGGCCAATAAACCCTCTTTGAGAGAATATTCATGATTAATTATAAAACAGAATAGTATTATACTTTATTAAATGCATCAATGGAAAAGTTAGAGGATGTGAATGGCATATAAAAAGCTAAGTTAATTGATGCTTTTATGTAGAATTTATTAAGAAATGCACATCAGAAAGCCTGAAAGTATGCAGTATGCATAAGAACACTGCATTATTTTCTTGGGCATGAACAAGCAGAAACACAGACAAGTCAGTAGCAAATGCACACTCATGATTGATCCAGACATGTCTAAGGGGAAACCTCGCATCCTGGAGCGCTTACTTCCCTGCGCTTTTGGTGCGATTGAAGCTCTCCCAGAATGAATGGGTCCTCTGATTCTGACACTGACTTTGACCTCATAGACGTGTGGGAAGAGGTAACTAACACTATTTGATCGTTATGAGGGGTTAGCATTTCCAACATCTTGTCAAATTTGATCTTTTAATAACCTTGCCTGGAAGGTGGTATTATTCCTGTTTCACTCCTAAGCACACTGAGGAACAGCAGTTGGATTTGCTAAGGTCACTCAGCTGGGATGGGATGGAAACATGGAGAGGGGAGAGAAGGATTCTCATAGCAAGGATTTCCTAGAGAAGAGACATTTTGCCTAGAATCTTAGAATTCAATGATTGTAGAGCCCAGAAGAGACCTTGGCACTGCAGGCTCTTCTCGGGCACAGTTAGTGGCGGGGACTCAAACTCGGGAAGCCATGCATCTTTTCCGTTTTCAAACAGGTCCTTGTTAGAAAAGTGTTCTTATTTTATCCTGAGTTTGATTGCCATGCCGTGGTCTCAGCTCTCTTTCATGGTGTTAAGTAAAGCAAGTCTCCAGCTTCTTCTTTGTGATCACATTTGAAAGCAGCTATTTTGTCCAACAATAAATCTTTCATCCTTTTTATTCCCAGGAAAGAATGTAATTAACAGGACAACAGATTTTCATACCAGACTTTGGTTCAAGTCCCAGCTTTATCAACAACTGTGTCTGCCCAGGCTTATCTACTCTTTAACGTCTACTAATAGAGGTGGTAATGACCTCCCACTGGGGTGTGATTCTGGGCAATTAATAAATGTAATCATGAGCTATGCACTTCCTTGCACTAGTGAAAAATGCTCTATCCCGGTGCTGGCAGAGGTTGTTTTCCTTGTTTCTTGTTTAGTTTGAGAATCTACAATTCTCCAAATTGGTCAGTGGCCGAGGAGTTGGTTTAACCTTCGGTCTGGACATACC